AAAAAAATTGTCTGGGAAGGGGGTAGGGGGGCTTTGAGAAGGGATGAGGAAGAGGCAGAGAGCATGGAAGCTGCCTGCCCTGCCCGCAGCGGGGGTGGTGGGTGCGGAGGGTGACGTGTCTGGGGATGACGTGGGGATGACGTGGGGATGGCTGTTAAAAGCAAGGGGAGGATTTTGGTTATGTCCAGCCTCGCCAGACGACCCCTGGGAAGCGGGGGCATGGTGGAGGAGTAGCTTCGAGTGCAGGTTAGCACCAAGCCATGAGCAGGCAGGGAAGAGGCTTTAAAAGCCCCAGTTTTCCCAACGGCAGCGGCCATGCTGTCCCTGCGCAGCCCATGGCATCTCTGGTGCTCAGCCCACCTCTCCTTTGGGATGTGGGAAAACAAGCAGCCGCTTTCACTTTTTATCCCTCATTGCTTCTCACTCCGATTCTGTTGGCACTAACAGGAGGCGGGGGGGTTGGTTGGCCTCCTGCAGACATCCCCGGCGGCGGGGAAGGCGGGTGCGGGGGGTTCCTGCCACGGCGGCTGTTCGCTTCTCCGAAAGCTGGTGGTGCGGCTGGGCAGAGGGAGGCCAGTTATTGTCTTTAATGTGCGATGGATGTGTTGGAACAAGTTCAGAGCAACAACCTCCCTCCATGTAAATGGCCGATAAGGAGAAGAATGGTTTGGCAGAGCAGATGGCCCCCGGAGCGTCTCCGCTTTGCAGCAGCACATCCTGCGTGAGGATGGGGGGGAGGCTGCAGCCTGACCCCGTCTCACCCCACCCCGCTCGTGTCCTCAGCACTTTCTCCTTTATTTTAATCATTGTCTTGATCCATCCGAGGTGATTAGAGTGGGTTTGGGAGGCTCTGCCTGTGGACGACACGGCAGCAGGGTTTTTGAGCCCTTGATAGCAATATTTCCTCCTACGCCTCTGCCGTGTCATGGCCAAAAAAACCTGAGAGCCATCCAAAACAATGGGCTTAGTCCAGGTTTTTCCAGGTCCCGTAGTGCAGACGTGGGGATCGGATCGGCCTGGCACCCGCAGGGGGTGCGGCTGCTTGGGGTGCGGGGGTCTCGGGGGAAGAGTAACCGGGCATTTCGTCACAGCCTGGGTTTGCAGCGCTGT